TGGACACTGTGGGCAATTTAGCATGGCCAATCCACCTAACCTACACATCCTTGGACACTGTGGGCAATTTAGCATGGCCAATCCACCTAACCTGCATATCTTTGGACTGTTGGAGGAAGCCAGAGCACCCGGAGGAAACCCATGCAGACATGGGGAATACGTGCAAACTCCACACAGACAGTCACCTGAGGGTGGAACTGAACCTGGGTCCCTGACGCTGTGAGGCAGCAGTGCTGATCACAGAACCACAGTAAACAGCCTGTACTTATCTAAATGCTATCAATGGGCTATTATTGCGTTCTACACTGTAAATTTTCAATTACTATCATGTTAGAATGAATGCAATGTATGACATGCAGTACGAATAATGTAAACAAGAAAACAAAGGGGGAGAAATTTATTTACATAGCACCTCCTCCATGGGCTGCACACAGATGAAAGTCATTCACTGGGGCATGCGGCACCTTGAGACACTACATTGCCCAGCCCACTCATTGTTCTTCAGGGATATCAACGACAAACTGTGCACAGACTCCGCAAGTAATGACCCACAGCACAACCTGCTCTGGATGAACTGGCACACATCAGCCTGGCACCAGCAGACCTGGTGCTGAGTGCACACAGTTAGCCCTCATGCGAAGGAAGCAAAATACGGATATCAGATTTGGGAGACCGGAGAAATGTCATTCTAAAAATGTAACGATTTAAGGATTAACTCAACCAGTAGCATCTTTCAGATAACAATGCAGTAATGGAATAGGTCATGCATCAGTCACACCTTGGTAAGGTGTGCAATTATTTTTTAAACCCACGCATAGTAAATCCTTATTATTTTTCAGTAGATTAGCTTTTTATTAACAGAGTGGAGATTTCAAATATGTGACAGCTGACACTCCTGTGAAATAATGTGACAGTAATATATTAGCAGCAGTACTTTTATCCAGATGAAAACGAAAGGTCCTGTCTGCCCAATCTGATAGTAAGGAAAAAAAAAACAATGACACCACTGAAAGCAGAGTGTGGCATGTTTCTACATTCCTGGCCAACATGCATCCCTCAATCTACACCAGCAAGATGGATTGGACAATTATTCATGACGTTGCAGTCCATCAGTCCATGCAGTAGGTGAAATTACCACACTACCCAATATATTAGCAGTTATTGGCCTTGGAAATTATTCACTGTATCTGAAAGGTTCTGAAATATTCTTTGAATTGTGACAGATGGTTTTAAACTGGTTACTTACAAGAAGCTGGACAACTGAGCAGTTAAAGTAAAGTGGTTATCTTGCCTGTCAACATCCCAAACAAGGGACACCATCTTCAATTTTAAACGGCTCTTTCAAACAGGCTGCAGGGCAGCCATTGGTCTACCAAATCTACCCTCACTGGGGATGGATGCTGACATGGGCCTAACTTTAACAGTGTTGTAAAATCCCTACAGTGTGGGAGTAGGCTATTTAGCCCATCAAGTTGATTCTGACCCTCCAAACAGCAACCCACCGAACGCTATTCTTCCCCATGGCTAATCCACCTAACCCATACATTCCTGGACACTATGGGCAATTTAGAATGGCCAATCCTCACAACATGCACATCTTTGGAACATTGGAGGAAACCAGGGCATCCAAAGGAAACCCACACAGACACAGGGAGAATAGGCAAACTCCACACAGACAGTCACCCAACGCTGGAATTAATCCTGGATCTCTGGTGCCGTGAGGCAGCAGTGCTAACCACTGAACCACCATGCTGCCTCTGAATGTGGAAGTCAGATGAAGATGACAGGGAGCAGATCCAAGATCAGAAGAGGTATTAAATAAGTAACCGAACCGAGCGCATCATCCTCCGGCACTTCCGCCATCTGCAATCCGATCCCACTACCAAAGACATTTTTCCCTCCCCACCCTTATCTGCTTTCCGGAGGGACCACTCTCTCTGTGACTCCCTTGTCCGCTCCACACTCCCCACCAGCCCCACCACCCCCGGCACTTTTCCCTGCAACCGCAGGAAGTGCTACACCTGCCCCTAAACCTTCCCTTTCACCCCCATCCTAGGCCCCAAGAAGACCTTCCACCTCAAACAGATGTTCATCTGTTAATGTGGTATACTGTATCCGCTGTTCCCGACATGGTCTCTTCTACATCGGGGAAACTGAGCAGAGGCTTGGGGACCGCTTTGTGGAACACCTACGCTCGGTTTGCGAGAAACGACTGCACCTCCCAGTCGCAAACCATTTCAACTCCCCCACCCACTCCTTGGACGACATGTCCATCCTGGGCCTCCTGCAGTGCCACAGCGATGCCACCCGCAGGTTACAGGAACAACATCGCATATTTCGCTTGGGAACCCTGCAGCTCAATGGTATCAATGTGGACTTCACAAGTTTCAAAATCTCCCCTCCCCCAACTGCATCCCAAAACAAGCTCAGCTCGTTCCCGCCTCCCTAACATGTTCTTCCTCCCACCTATCCGCTCCTCCCACCTCAAGCCCCACCCCCATCTCCTACCTACCAGCCTCATCCCGCCTCCTTGACCTGTCCGTCCTCCCTGGACTGACCTATCCCCTCCCTAACTCCCCACCTACACTCACCTTTACTGGCTCCATCCCTTCCCCTTTGACCTGTCTGTCTCCTTTCCACCTACCTTTTTCTTTATCCATCTTCTATCCGCCTCCCCCTCTCTCCCTATTTATTTCAGAATCCCCTTCCCCTCCCCCATTTCTGAAGGAGGGTCTAGGCCCGAAACGTCAGCCTTCCTGCTCTTCTGATGCTGCTTGGCCTGCTGTGTTCATCCAGCTCTACACCTTGTTATCTATTTCATTTACTCTCATCAATCCTCCTTCTCACTTGCTGAAATAAATCATTTAAGTTAATCAGACAAAAACTTACCTTAACAAAAACATGTTGACGATTCCTGATTAAATATATATGTCTAAGAGACAAAATTGATTCTGCTGATTTAATGACTGACTGACACAGTTATTTGGCCTAACTCTCACATCCTTTTGGTAATTGTACAATGTGCACTCACCTCCAATCCTCAGGTACTTCACCTGTATCTAGTATTTCCTCTCTGGCTTCCTTTAACAGCCTCGGATGCAGTACATTTGGTCCTTATGATTTATCCACCTTCAAGGAAGTCAATCCCTCCAGTACCTCCCCGCTCATTATGTTTATCCTTTCTAATGTAAATAAGACCATAAGAAATAGGAACAGGAGTAGATCATTCGGTCCCTACAGCCTGCTCCACCAGAGAGGTATCTAATAACTCTTTGTTAACTAGAAAGTCTGTATCATCCTTGAAAACAAAATATTCATTAAGGATCATGCCCATCTTCTGCATCCATACCCAAGATCGATGTCCAACTCTGATAGGCTCAATTGCTTTCTTTGTCATCCCCTTGTTCTTTATGTATTGCCAAAACATCTTTGGATTTTCCTTTATTTTACTAGCTAATAATTTTTCATATCCTCGCTCTGCTTTCCTGATTTCCTTTTTCACTTCACTCCTGTATTTTCTATCCTCCCCCAAGGTTGCTAAGGTATTACACTTTTTGAGATTATCCTAAGCTTTGCATTTACACCCTATTTTACTCTCCGAACTCTCCGCACTCCTCCAGTTCTGGCCTCTTTGGTATCTCTGATTTTCCTCATCCCACCACTGGTGGTTGTCCAATCAGCTGCTCAAGCCCTTAGCTCTGCAATTATTTTTCTTTGCCTTTCTCAACACACTTAAGAAATTCCTTAAAACCTCCCTCCTTGACCAAACCTTTGGTCTCCAGTTCTGACATCTCACTCTGCGGCCCGTTGTCAAATTTTGTTCAGTAACATTTCTGTGAAGTGCATTGGAGCATTGTAACATACCATATAAATGCAAAGTTCTGTTGGTTGTATAAAGATACATTTAATAGAGTGGAAGCTTTGATTTTTGGCTTCCACTAACCTGAAATACTAAACCTCTTTAGTGACCAAGTACACTGCTGGGAGTATCATGTACCTCTTTGTTTTCCATTGCACA